ACCAGATTTACTCAAGGCTATGAGGACAATAATAATCTATCTACAGAATGGTTTATAGACCTTACCCAAGATCAAACTAATATAAGTTTACCAAGTTATAATAATCTATCTATAGAATGGTCCAGAGGATTTAATCAAGATCAAATTAATAATAATCTACCTATAGAATTATCTACAAACTTTACTCAAAATCAAATTAATAAAAGTTTACTAAATTTTTATAATAATCTATCCATAGAATGGTTTACAGAATTTAGTCAAAATCGAACTAATAATAATGTACCTACAAAAATATCTGTAGACTTTATTACTAACAATACGCTTATGAAATGGAATAGAGATTTTACTCCAAATCAAACTAATACAAGTTCGCTAAATATTAATAATAATCTGATTATAGAATTACTAGTGAGCATTGCTCAAAATGATGAGAATCAAACTAATCATAATCTATCTGTAGAGTGGACCACATGTTTTACTCAAGATCAAACTAATAATACAAATTTACTAAATAGGAATAATACAGAAATTACTCAACATTATGAAAGCCAAATTAATACCATACAACAAGATGATGCAAAATTAGTTAAAGAGAATAAATCTCCAATTTCACTCGTTTCTAGGCGTAAAAAAAATCCAAGATGCAAGAAATGTAATCTTAAAAAACCTCACTATGATGAAAATTCTAATCAATGTAAAGATTGTTATCGGGCTTCATTACGAGTTTTAAGCAGTAATAAATTAATAGATGATTTTATTAAATCGATACAAACTTCTTATAGTAGCTGTACACATAAAACAAAATTAGAATATATTCTATATAAACAATTTACTGATATTAAGTATCTAGCTAAAGGAGGGTTTAGTATAATATATAAAGCAACATGGGTTGATGGGCCTATTTTTTGTTAGAATCCTAAAAAGCAAAATATGGTCGAAAAGGAAATTATGATGTTGTTCTTAAAATTCTTAATAATACAAAAAAATGGATTCTGATTATTTAAATAAGGTTTATATATATAATCATATTTATTATATTTTTAATTTGAATTTAAATTTAAAACTTATTTATTTTATATTACTATAATTGTGTAAAAAAGGTAGGTTATAGAATTAATGACTCTATCCATCAATATCTTGGTATTATGCAACATCCTGAAACAAAAAATTATATAATAGTTATAAAACTTGCGCAGAATAGAGACCTACATTATTTTATAAATAAAGGCACAAATACTTTATCTTGGATAAATAAATTAGAACTATTACAGAAAATTTTAATTAGAATCAGTCTACTACACTAGTATAAATTTATTCATCGTGACCTTCATAGTGGCAATATTCTTATTAGCCAGAATAATATCCCAGCAATTGCAGATTTAGGAATAAGCAAACCAATAGATATATCATCAGATGAGAATACAATATATGGAGTTATTCTGTATATTGCACCAGAAGTATTAAACAGAAAAAAGTTTATACAAGCTTCAGATGTTTATAGTTTTGGTATGATTATGTGGGAGATAATAAGTAGCTGCAGGCTATTTTCTGATCGTAAACATAATGAACATCTTATTCTAGATATTCTTAATGGTCTTCGCCCAAAAATTCCAATTGATATTTCACAGAAATTAGTTAAAATAATGGAAAATTGCTGGCATCCAGATCTGGACAAAAGAATTAAGCTCGATTGTTTTTGGGCGCTTCAACAACTTATTACTAAAGCAATAAGAAGAGAAATAAAATTTCTAAAAAATAAAGATACAAGTATTTTACTGACTAAAATGAATAAACAAGCAATTTATTCTAGTCAACCATTAATACCATTAATTAGTAAAGCATTGACTTTACAAAGTATGAAACTAAATAGCAATGGAATTACCAGTGAGAAAATACATTGTATTAAGACGATGCATGTTTCTTATTTTAAATATTGCATAAGCTAGTATTAATAATATTTATAATAATTAATTGTTTTAGACATTCAAACGATAATAATGCAACAACTAAGCAGTAACCAAACAGATGATGATTCTAGAGTGATTGAATTTGATATAAACAAACTATAAATAGGATTTGGACCTTTTAATAATAAGAAAGTTTCTAGTAAGCAATTCTATTTCTTAAATTTGTATCATTCATGCCAAAACTAAGTTTAATTCTTTATTAGCTATAGATTTTTGTGAGGTTAAAATTTATTAGAAATTTTCCTGTTTTCTTGTTAATAAATTTTAATAGAACTTTATTAAAATATTTTAAAAAATATTTTTAAAAATTTTACGAATACACAAATAATAGTACAATCGTGATAGATTAGATAATGTTATAAGTTAATAAATTTTTTATCTTGATCAATTAATATATCAACATGATACTTAATCCCTCTTGGCACTGTATTATCATGCCTGGCACTTACAAAATCTAAAGTATGTTCTATTAAAATTATTATAAAGTTTTAGTATTACAGTATAAACAATAACTATAATTAAAACTTTAAAGAAATAATAAATTATGATCTTTTATAATACTGTAAAAAGCATTAAATTTTTTTTTTTTTTGGTTTTAAGATGAGGCCTTGCTCATATCTTTATTAGTAATAATTTTTTAATAGTAACAAAATA